AAAGGTCTATTTTCCGGCTTTCTTGGGAGCACCCACGTGCAAGCTTTACATACTACACCAAAATAAATTCCTTAAGGTAAGACGTGTAAGAGAGCAACAGAACATCCTTCTTCTGATCGTATCTCAGCTTTGCATGCACCAGCTGAGTAAAGAGCAAAATTAGACAGACAAGGCAGTAAGTTCACAAACCAGCTCAAACAAGCAGTCACCCTCTGATAAGATTCCTAATATGATACAAATGTCTGCTGATCCTCTCTCATATAGACTTGCCTGGTTATTAAGATCTTTAGAGGAGGCCCTGTCTTCAGAAGGGAAATATCAGAAAGTGGACATTCTAAATAGTAGCGTCCAACTATGGAACTATTTCCCCTAGATGGTAGACTCCTGGTGAATCAGCACCAATGTATAAGAAATATTTAAAAGGCTATGATAAGCTACCTATACAGTATTTAAATGTACTGTTTATATGGTTTGGTAAGTATGTGAGGGGAAAGGAATGAGTGAGGAAGGAAGGGGTAGTGTGTTTGTGGGTCAGTCTGATGCAGAGAGATCAGGCACAGGGTAGTTTCAGAGTCTGAGAGTAGTCAAAGAGAGAAGTTTGAGAGAGAGAGAGAGACAGACAGACAGACAGACAGACAGACTGAGATGAGGAAAAAGTAACAAAAGAAGGAAGGACTGTGCTTCCTGGAGGGAGAGTTCTTCAAGAGGCACCATTCTATAATAAAGGGCAAAATGCTACTACCCCCAGGAAGCGTTGTAGCAGTTCCTCCCAGGGAGGAAGGGAGAAAGAAAAAAAGAAGGAAAGAAGGAAGGAAGGAAGATGGTAATTATAACTCTAAAAGGCACTGAGTTAGGGAAGAGTGTTCTAGCCAAGTCAAATTTTATCACTAGTGAAAGCATAGCACCTCATTTATAATAAGAGCCCTGCCTTTCTCCTTTGCCACATATTTTTAAAAGCACTGAAACAAAGTCACAGAACGATTGTTCGCAAGGCTTTCAAGAAGTCGTCCGTTTCTCACACACTCTTTTTTTTCCTCCTCTGCCAAAGTATCATTAATCATCTGTAGTCTGCATGGAAATGGGATTAACGCGACCCACCCTGAGAGATGGTGATGTTTTCAAGATTTCCAGAGCTGACAATTCCTTAGTTACTCGCCAGTTGTGGGGCAGTGGTTGATGACATCACCATGTAGCTCTGTTTTCTATGTTAAAATAGTCTGTGTGGTTACAATGGCCCAAAGTATACGGTGGGGTGGTTTATTTGCTTGTTTATCTTACGATCAAAGTCAAAGATTGTGTCCCATGCAGAAGACAAACAAACACTGAGTTCACAAATCCCAAGATGAGTGGATCAAAGTGCTTTGGACTCAGAATAACTTATTGTGAAGTAACAGAAATCACTAGTTACGAAGGAAAACAATGATACAGCAGAGCCAGAGTTCACAAGGTGAAACTGCTAAGATATTTTTTGTTATTAGCAGGAAAAATGTCATCTCTCTTCCTTCATTTCCTCCTTCTCTCTAAACTGATCTGGAATTCTTACAGGAGCGGGTGTCAGAAGGTGTGAATTTTCCAACATCCCTATTCAAGTGGTAGGATGGCTTGGTCTTGAATGGGTAGTGGAGACTCATTAACCTTGAACAATCACCCTTTTTTCACACTGTCAGAGCTGATTTATTGATATGGATCAACATGGTTTCCCATCTTTTGGGATTCTCTTTGAGTGCATGACTATTAGAGACTTGTCAGGATGTGTGCCTACATTCCAAAGTCTACTGTTGTACAACTGAAGGAAAGGTACATGGGGTGCAGAGAAAAGCAAGCAGTATAATTTGAAGCAAAGAATTGCAAAATTATGGAAAACAGAGGACAACCTATTGTCTCATCAAGACATTTCACTGAGGATTCCATCCTTACTTCTCTGCTACAAATGTTACATTAGCATGAAGTCCTGGTTCTCACTAAGGTGGTAAAGGTTCCCCTTGACAATTTTTGTCCAGTCGTGTCCGACTCTAGGGGGCGGCGCTCATCCCGCTCTTCAAGCCATAGAGCCAGCGTTTGTCCGAAGACAATCTTTCCGTGGTCACATGGCCAGTGTGATTTAGACATGGAACACTGTTTACCTTCCCACCGAGATGGTACCTATTTATCTACTCGCATTTGCATGCTTTCGAACCGCTAGGTTGGCGGGAGCTGGGACAAGCAACGGGCGCTCACTCCGTCGCGTGGATTCGATCTTACGACTGCTTGGTCTTCTGACCCTGCAGCACAGGCTTCTGCGGTTTAGCCCACAGCGCCACCACATCCCTCTCACTAAGGTGAGTCAACCTGTATCTGGGCTCTAAACACAAAGATTGCAATGTGAGGACTCATATAACGAAAGAAAACTTTTATACTCCGTGTGAGCACACGTGTGTGTGCACATACACAAACCTGCCACATACAAAACCTAAATCCAAGAGAGACACGATTTAGTCTTGCTGCCTCCCCAAGAGTTTTGAATGCACAGGGAATTTCTGGTAGGAATGCTTCTCCAACCATGTGAGACCTCACGATGTGATGCAGTGGCTAAAGGTCTGTGCTAATAATATGGGGAATCCAGGTTCTAGTTCTCCTTCCATCAGGAAACTCACTGGGTGATCTTGGACTAGTCAATTTTCCTTAACCTGACCTACCTTGAAAAGTGTTATGAGGATCAAAGTGGGATGAGACAGAGCCACATACACTGCCTTGAGCTCACTGAAGAAAAAGTGGGATCAAAATGTCACAAAGGAACATTTATGAAGACTGGACACCCTACGTAGATATATTGGATCAATCTGCACAAGCATCCTCAGACATGACACATGCATTAATCTCTGTACTGTATTTTCTTCACTGGAAAGGGTATGCAGTATGAGCAGGATGGCACAATTTCATAAAGTAAATGCCTCCATCATGCTCCAGTTTTCCCAACAATGCTGCAAATAACTATCCAATCTCAATTTTGTTGGATTTCTTTGAAACTCACCCACATTTCCTGAACAAATATATCTGTATGCCCTTCTTCAACTGTATGTATGTTGGCTATTTGCTTTTTAAAATACACATGTAATTTGGGATGCATTTCTATATGGCTGAAATGTGTGAATTATTCTGGCACGATGCAAGTCCTGCAAAGTATAAAAATGCTGCTTCCATTGAAATGGCTAAATCCAGTGAAATTCTTTTCTAGGCACACAGAGCCAGGAGCGTCAAGGCAACCTCATTCTTGCTCTTGTACCGCAGCAACAGCAGCTGCTCCAGCCAGTTGCAGGGGGACTGGCAGCTGCTGTGCTGCAGCTGTCCACCTCTTTATTCTTCCCATGCCCATGATGCCAGGGGATAACCAGGCTCAATTGTCCACACTTGTGGACAAGAGAGAAGAGACAGACCACTCGATACTGTAGGAAAACTTTGCGTTCATGCCTCTTATTTCTCAGTTTTGGAAAAAGGATCACCTAGGACTGAAGTCCAAAAAAACATATACTAATAAAAAGTGCAACAAGGACTCTTCACTGATTTGTTACAACAGACTAACATGGTTAAACCCACTCCACCTCACTCCAGAAAGGGCTAATGGGTTGATATGGAACATGTTGAGTAAAATTTACCTGCACACCTTATTTTTAAGCCAACACGTAGCTTCACCTCCTTATTCCCACAAAAGATAGGAAGAAAGACCAAATGTCTACAGTTAAGACAACATTTTCAACAGGTCAACTAAAGCAATGTGGATTTATTTTAAAAAAAGGTAGGGGAGAGAGATGAAGGCTGTTGCTACCAACTGAGCTCAAGTAGACAAAGATGTGTTTTATGTGACAGATGCTTGTTGCTTTTGTTTATGTTGTGAAAGACAGACACATCTGCTAGTCTATTTTTTTAATGCCCTGAAGCATTTTTCTGATTGGCCACAGAGCATAAGAAATAGCAACTGGGCAATACCAAAGAGATGCAATGAAAAGAACTGTTCTCAAAATATTAGACTGGTTCCAACAAGGGGTTGCATGGAGAGGAAAGAAGGCAAATAGACAGAACCACCTTTCTGTCATTAGTGGGTGAATGAGTGGGTGGGAGGGAGGTAAAATAGAGGCAAGAAGCTTTGTCTGTTTCTGCTAGTTAACTACAAGCCCCATGAGCCACTCATCATCTTTTTTAATGCAAAAATATACGTAAATGACCACTTTAGGTAAGCAAACAAGACAAAACCTACAAGACAGCTTTCTATTAACAATGGGAGACCTCCAGAAGTACTGACAATAACCACTGGACACCATGGCCAGGGATGATGGGAATTTTAGTTTGACATGCCTAGTAGGCATCTGGCTAGAGTTGCAATAAGAGGTCAACATCTTTATTCTTTTCAGCTGGACATTTCCACAGATGCAAAAAGTGGTTCTGCAATCCATTCCCAAAACTAAGTTCTGGACTGAACAATATTTTTATTGATTCACTAAAAAGTTACGAAAGGACTAGCTAAAGTTCTCCGGAATGCTTCATCAGGCAAAATTAGTATAAAATTTGGAGGTAAGATAAATGCTTCAACAATTGGGCCAGATGCCTTCCCATGGCTCACAAAGTCAGAGTGCTAAGAAAGCACCATTAGTTTATACAGTATTCCTCATAAGAAAGAGGTGGCAGAGGTAATATTTTGCTCCCCCTTCTGCTAACATTATCCCAGGCTTGCCTTCTTCTACAGATTTCTGTAGATCTACAGATCCATACACAATTTTAAAAAGACAAATTCAGCACCATTAGGAAGGGGTTCGAGGAAGCTGCTTAAGTTCAGAGTTTAAAGACTCAAGTCAATTTGAGTGGAACAGAGTTAAGCCCTGTTGAATTCACTTCAAAGGTGAATGGATAAAGAACTGTGGCCTTATTTTTTTTGCAGTGGGAAAGACACATGCACTTTTTCTTTTGAGCATTATTGGAAGCACCTATAAAGCACTATTCATAGCAGATTTAAATCGGACATAGTTCACCTGATGAAGTCATTCTTCCAGTTTTTCTGGGGATATTCCTCTACAGCATTTTGAATCAAATATCCATGAGGTCGATGTGGTTTGGAGTATGGCAACGTTCCCATGTGAGTAAGGACATCAGAGGACCCAACTGGGATGACCCCCTTTTTCTTCCTTGGGAGGGTACCATGGAGAGAAACATCTTGACATGTGTTTGACAGATGATCAGTCACCAACGACGGCTTGCTGGTCAAAAGGTCCATCGAAGAGGCCAATGAGAACTCGTGGTTCATCTGTGCGTTTCTTGCGAGACCTGCAAACTTCCCAGCGGCTATCATTCTTAATTCTAGAAAACAAAAGTAGTAGGAGGTGGAGGTTACAAACCATTCAAATTACTTTCTTTATATCGGATAAATAGGTCCCATTCATATTACTCAGCAATCAGAAGAAAATGGTAAGTTTGAAAAAGGATGTCCTAAAGGGCTTGACCTTTACTAGTCCCAGAAATGAAAAAGAAAGATGTTCACAAAATTATATTAAATGCCTAAGTCTGATGGCTGATACTAGTAACCACAGATGAGCCTCTCTTTGAGCACTGCATATTTTGTAAATAATTTTGGATCAGGAAGGAACTGAAACAAAACTCTCACCCAGATTTAGAAAGTTTTAGAAAAATTCAGATTAATAATAACCAAAATGAAACTCCTTCTCACAGCTGTTGCTGTCGCTTGCTTGGTGGCTTTGCATTGGCATGATTCAACACATTTTGAGACAAAAGGCAGAGAGAATAGGGCATCCCACGAGTGGTTGCTGACAACCATTCAGCCATCCCTAACAATAATTCATAAAGCCCAGTGAACCTTGTAAAGTGCGCACAAAAGCTACAATGGTGCTGTCAATGGCTATTGCTACCCAGCGTAGAAGATGCTCCAGTCACAAGCAGAGCTAAGGAAAGTTACTTTTTTAGACAATAACTCCTAGAATCCTCCATACAAATATGGCCCCTAGTTAGTAGCCTTAGTCCAATAAATAAACAGAGACAGACATATTTTTCCAAGCCGTGATCATATGTTCTGCCTGTACATCCACTGCCACCATCTTGTGCTATGTTTTATAAGAACTGTGGCTTGTAGGTCTGAGTCAAGTTGTATGATGGATTCCAGGATTGCAAACATAAAACACCCATGTCAAAGAGAGTTTGGGCTGGAAGGCTATTATTATTATTACCAACAACATTTATCTTTGTAATTATTATTTAAGCCCCCTGATGTTCAACAGATCATACATCAGTCAAGAATCATTAACTACAGCTGAATTGTCTGAAAGGACTAGTATGAGACAGACAATCCACAATTTAACAGATTACCAATTTAAGCTCAGCAAGGGGTACTGTTTGAAAAATATTCAGTGCTGCTAGGTTGGAGGGGAAGATAGCATGGGTATGGTAAGCCAGGAAGCAGTCAGGAACTGATATCTGGAAGTCTTGTAGGAAAGATACATAAGCCAGTAGATGGAATCCTGAGTTCCTTTCATCAGAAATGCTTATGAGATGCTGCCACAAAAAAAAGGGGGAGGGGAATGGTGATTCTCTGCTATCTCTGTTCTCCTCCCATTCGTTCCAAGACTTTGAAGACCCTCTTGAATTGTAGGGGGAGTGACATGGAAGCTGCAGGGAATTAGCAAAAAATTGAATCCATCATGAATCTTCCCAGAATTGAAAGCCCTTCCATTAATGGGATCTATTCCTATAAGAGCTGTCAGATAAAGATGAGGCTGATTTACAACAAAAGTTCATGCAACTGCATCCTTACAACAGATGCAAAGAGGGGGCACTTCTGATAGAGCAACCACCCACTATCATCTGAATATAACATGGCAGCATCAAGTTCACATGCACAACAAACAGGCATGAGAAACAGTCATACCAATATGAAAAATAACTTATTATTTGTGTCTATTCTCCTCTAATTGTTACAGGATGTATTGTCTATATTTTGTAGACTTTATGAATTGGCCTCCTCACTGTAATTGTATAAGCAGGCTATGAATTAACTTGGACATGTTTTTAATAGGGTGGCAGCTAAAGTAATATGATGGATCTGTATATATTAGAATTGTTTCCAGTACATGTCTTCTAATTTTACTGAGTTAACTATACCTGTTACTTACAAGCTGACTCAATTACAATGAGCTCTCGGGAGTTCAATGGAGCACTTATCTTAAGATAGAATATCCAAGAAGCAATAGAGAGTATCTTAAATTTGCAGGCAGAGGTCAGAAAATTACTTTTAAGAATGACATGCTGAAACCACCCATAACTGAGCAATCACAGGACACGGCTCTGGGGCCTTACAGTCCCTTGTTACTTTACAATTATGCCTAGTGATTTATTGTTGCTATGTATGGTAAAGGAAATGAAGGGCACTGCAGTTTCTGATGGCTCAACATCAGATCCCTTTGACATCCGAAGCAGAGTGAAACAAGGTTGTGTCCTTGCGACAACCCTTTTAGGGATCTTTCTTGCTGTCATGCTGAAGCACACCTTTGGAATTGCAACAGAAGGTGTCTATCTCTGGACTAGATCAGATGGAAAGCTCTTTAATCTCTCTAGACTGAGAGCAAAGACCAAAGTCCAACTGAAATGCATGCGGGGCTTCCTCTTCACCAATGATGCAGCTGTTGTTGCCCACTCTGCTGAAGACCTCCAACAACTCATGAATCATTTTAGCAAGGCCTGCCAAGACTTTGGATTAACAATCAGCCTGAAGAAAACACAAGTCATGGGCCAGGATGTGGACTCACCTCCCTCTATTACCATCTCCAAACAAGAATTGGAGGTTGTTCATGACTTTGTGTACCTTGGCTCAACAATCTTTGACACTCTCTCCCTAGATGTCGAGCTGGATAAACGCACTGGCAAAGCAGCTACCATGTTCTCTAGACTCACAAAGAGAGTATGGCTGAATAAGAAGCTGACGGCATATACCATGATCCAGGTCTATAGAACCTGTGTCCTGAGCACACTCCTGTACTGCAGTGAGTCCTGGACCCTTTGTGCACGGCAGGAGAGGAAGCTAAACATGTTCCATATGCATTGTCTCAGACACATTTTTGGTATCACCCGGCAGGACAAAGTTCCAAATAGAGTCCTAGAACGAGCTGGAATTTTTAGCATGTATACATTACTGAAACAACAATGTCTACATTGACTGTGCATGTCATGAGAATGGCTGACGGTCGGATTCCAAAAGATCTCCTGTATGGAGAATTAGTGCAGGGAAAGCACCCCAGAGGGAGACCACAGCTGCAATACCAGGATATCTGCAAGCGGGATCTGAAGGCCTTAGGAATGGACCTCAACAGATGGGAAATCTTGACATCTGAGCGTTCAACCTGGAGGCAGATGGTGCATCATGGCCTTCTGAGCCACACTAGACACTGTTCCAAGCCCTCCATACAGAGTATGATACCATAGTCTCTCGAGACTGAAGGATGCCTTATGGTAAAAGTAACATCTGAATGAGTGACCTCCAAAAGGCCCTACCACTAACAGTGCTACTCAGTTCTGCCAAACCCAAGGCTGTGGCCTCCTTTATTCAATCCATCCCATATTTGGTCTTCCTCTTTTCCTGTTGCCAATGATTTTTCCCATTATTATTGCCTTTGCTGGTGAGTCTTGACTTTTCGTGATGTGCCCAAAGGACGTTTGCTTTGGCTCAATTTGATTTAGGACTCACTCTGGAAGTCTGTGGTATCCAGAAAGCTCTCTTCTAGCACCACGCTTGGAATGAATCAGTTTTTTTCTCCTGTCAGCTTCTCCAATGTCCAGCTTTCACATCTGTACATAGCAGTGGGGAGCGCAATAGTGTGAATGATCTTAATCTAGGTCTCCAGAGTCACATCCTTACAGTTTACTGTCTTCTGTAGCTCTTGTATAGCTGCTGTTCCTGGTCTCGCTTGTCTTTTATTCCATGGCTGCAATCCCACTTGGATTTACGATTGAACCAAGGCATACAAAATCTTTAACAATTTCAATTTCTTCATTGTTAACATCAAAGTTATATAGTTCTTCTGTAGTCATGGCTTTTGTCTTCTTAGTGTTCAACTGCAGTCCTGCTTTGACTTTTCTTTTAAATTATGACTGCTTTCTGTCAGTAACATACTACCATCTGCATGTCTTAAATCTTCCACCAATTTTCACTCTTCCTTCATCTGAGCATAATCCAGCTTTCCACATGATGTGTTCTACATACATATTGAACAAGTCTGTTCGATCCACCTGGTTGTTCAGTCTTTATGTTTGCTAAATCTCTGTGCTGCATGCATGGCTTAACATGGCGAAGGGTTTTCTGAAAGCAGTGCCGTCAGGAAGCTAGATTTCATGCATCTGGATTCCTAGCAGTCACCCAGGGCAGAATGGTCGAAGCTGAGACACTGAACTAAGGCATCCACACTCTTCAGGAGTAACTGCCACATCAGCAGAAGAGAATGGATAGTTCTGGTGATGATGGAAGTGGAGACATTTCTGGAGAACAGCTACTGGGCAGCAGCAGAAGCTGAAGGTCAAACTAGTGGAAAATCTTTTAGACAACGGCAGTGACACTCAAGCTAACGTTGGTCACTACTGTACAGCAGAAGCCAATGGTAAAACAGTAGTGCATATTTTGTATTTTGAAAACCGTATGATGAGACACTAGGATCACTGCTTTTATTATTTGTTAATGCCCTTGAAAATATGCACTTCTCCAGTACTTTCTTTCTAGAAACATATTTTTATACAAACTTTGCAGCAGGCACAGAATTAGTTCTCTCCAGATGCATCTGCCAATGCAAACCAATGCCCAGAACAAAGGTACTGTTTGCCTAGTTATTAATCCAGTTAATTAGGACAAGATGTCTCTAGATATTGCTTCTGCTGAACCCACATATTTCACAGAAGGGATCCTCTTTACAGATGTAAGTCTCTGAAATGCCTTAAAGGCTGCAACAGCCAGTTCAAAAAAGAATATTGACGAAGGACTGTATTTGGTAGGAAATATCTTTTCTTTCCTGCTCAGCCAGTGCCAGTTCATTCAAATGGCTTCAAAGGATGGTTTATGATGCTGCAGGTTTTTTATTACAAAGAGATATGAAAAGAAGCTCTGAATGCTACATCCATGCTGAAATGCAATCAGCTACAAAGCTTCAGGAGCCATACGCTTTAAGCTAAATTCCTTGTTACTTTACTAAGGAGTTTCTGACATGACAAAAATCATAATATAGCCAGTTAGATAGGCCAGCTTATAAACTAGCCCATCTCACTGTGCCTTGATAAGCAGCTTGTTTAGCTAAAATCAGGAATAATCT